TATATACCCAAGATGGATTATTTTGGGAGAGTCAACAATTTTTTGTAATTGGTTTTCGAAAACTTAGGATGAGATATATTTAGCAAGGTGTTAAAAATCGGGTTTTGCAAAAATTTAATTTTTATTGCGAATTCCGATAGAATGCCTATGCAGAAATAATATTTGTACGGCAAGATTTTTCTTCAAGGTGACATACGTCTAGAAATGGCCGTGATGAAATCTTTACGATGAGCAGAACCCGAGATATAACGATTTGAAGAAGTACATGATTAGTCAGAATCACTTAGGCCAAACTTTAACAGATTATATCTTCGATGGAAAAAAAGAAAATGGTTGCTAAAATTCTAGATACATAAGTACTTATGTGCATGATATATTAACCAGGTCTAGCCTTTTGAACATATAAGAAGGTAATTTCCATCATTTACAATTAAATTTAAGCGAACTGCTTTTAATATGTTCTTTAAATATACATATATTTTTATTATTGCGTTTACTTTCAAGGTGTGTCAAAGTTTGGTCCCTTGAAATAATTGTAACTACTGTTAATGTAGAGAAATTAAAACAAAAAAAAAAACTGCTCAAATGTGCTCCGTTTTGATTTTCGAAGGACGAAACTTGATGAGTCATAAAATTGTAATTTTGGTGGTTATTTGCAGAAATGTTCAATATCTGGTTAAAGGGAGAGTAGATTGTCTCATTGTTAAAAAGCTGCAAGTCTGACATTTAATTTGGTAACGATCGAATACTATTTGTCAAAGATCTATTGAAAAAAGTCGACTCATCGCTAGTTTTTCTTCATCTGTAAAAATAACTTAAAAATATATGAAAACGAATGCTCGAAAGTCAACAGCTTTTATAGGAGCCGGCTACCCAGATTTACTGAATTTTAAAGTCCTCGAGAGTTCCTTTGAAGGACTATGAAACTGGACAATCAGCCTCATTGCGAGAGTCGTGCCGAATGCAAGTCGTTTTTCGAGAGTCGAATCGTATCGAAAATTTAGCGTCATTGCCTAAAATTTCCACTCGACTAGTATATTAAAACGGAAGAACTTGGCAGCACTGCATAGTTTTCGACAATTTTCGTCGTTTACTTATTTCAGCACGACAGCAGACAATGCTAATGTTGTCGAGTCGTACAATTCAGCCTAATTTACGACTTACGCAATGAGGCTGAATAATACCCTGTAATCGGCTTCGGCGAGACCGTTTGTGTCCTTAGAACAATTTACAGTATCCTTTTTGAAGTGCAACTTCTTAGTCGAGTTCGGAGATGGTTGCGTTAAATATTTAACACCAAGCCATAAACTCTATCGTTCGTTCGATTTTTAAAAATGAGGTGTCACATGAAAGGCCTTGTCCTTCGGGTGTACACCATAGCCTTAGTTCCATGAAAGGAGTTGCCACATACTAGAAAATCGAATTCAAAATTTCTCTGCCGCAGAGGGTTGCGTTAAATATTTAACACCACGTCATAAAATCTGTATCGTTCGTTCGATTTTTAAAAATGAGGTGTCACATGAAATGCCTTGTCCTTCGGGTGTGCAACGTAGCTTTAGTTCCATGAAAGGAGTTGCCACATGTTAGAAAATCTAGTTCAAAATTTCTCTGCCGCAGAGGGTTGCGTAAAATATTTAACATCAAGTCATAAAATCTGTATCGTTCGTACGGTTTTCAAAAATGAGGTGTCACATGAAAGGGCTTGACCTGCAGATGTGCAGTATGGTTTTAGTCTTTTAAAGGGTTGCCATATATACGAAAATCAAATTCAAATTATTTATTAAGTTAAACGAATTATCCAAATATGGGTATCAAATGAAATGGTTTTAAATAAGTTGTATTTTCTAGCTAAATGTAGGAGGATTGCCACCTGTTTCAAAAGTAAAATTTAGTTAAATTATACAAAAGTCTTACGCTCAAAATACTATGCAGTACAGAAAGAGCTTACAGAAATACAATTAAAATATTTTTGAGGTGCCTGAAGAGGGTGGCCACCTGTTTAAAAAGTTAAACTCAAATTATTGAAGCAAATCTTATTATTATAGCTCCGTTATGTTTGCGATAAATATTTAACGCCACGGTACAGGTAGCATATGACGGGTATAGAAAACGAATAGCTGCGTTAAACGCCAATTGGGCGGGAAAAGACTAATGCAAAGACAAGAATATAATCAAAAACAAATATAAAGATAAGATGAAGATGAAGATGAAGATGAAGATGAAGATGAAGATGAAGATGAAGATGAAGATGAAGATGAAGATGAAGATGAAGATGAAGATGAAGATGAAGATGAAGATGAAGATGAAGATGAAGATGAAGATGAAGATGAAGATGAATAAGATGACGATGAAGATGAAGATGAAGATGAAGATGAAGATGAAGATGAAGATGAATGAAGTCAGATGAAGATGAAGATGAAGATGACGATGAAGATGAAGATGAAGAAGAAGATGAAGA